GAAAATATCACCTCTTCTTACATGCACAGTGTTCCGGGTTTTTACCATTTCCACCGATTGTTTTTCACCCTTGAGTGGTATCAAAGTAGTGCAATTCGCAAGGTTTGCACCACGAGCAGCCAACATGCCCGACTCGTCTGCACACTGATATGTTTCTTCCGGAAAAGCGTCCATTTTACTACAGTTCATATGCTTTTAGCTTCGGCGACCTAACGAAACCATTTTATTGAATTTGGGAATCAGCAAGTGTTGACGTGATCATGCAGTCCGAGTGAATGTCTATGTGCAAGCATTTACCGCTCATCAAGGAGCACGCTTACAGCAACATACATTTGTGCCATTAGAAATAGCTATCATGGTGAGAAAAAATAAACATTCGAAGAACTGCAAGCCAATGGTAGTGGGTTTTACATATAATTCACGTTTAAATATGCATCATTATCAACTATGTAAAATCGCTGTTAGATGAAGTACTACAGAAATCTGTTGCGAATATGCCGCTTTAAGAGTTTCTGGGTAAGTCGATTTTTTAGACTTGATTGTTTGTCCAGACTTTTGATGCCATTACATCCGTACGGGAATCTGAATAATTCCAGAATGATTAAATGCTCATACGTTGACAGAGTCAGTTGGATAGTTGATCTAGTTACAACGCAGTTTCATTCTTTTGAGGAATACTGAATTATCGACCAAAACGCACTCGCTTCTTATTATGAAGTGGATGTTGGTGGTTAACTGTAAAATAAGAGAGGTCTAGAGTGAAGTCAGTTACAGCAACATAAACGTGTTGTAGCAGGCAAAATTGTGCATATGGAGCGAGAAGTAGAAGATTTGCTAGTCGCGGCTCAATATGGAAGAAATGCCTAGTCGAGATGTTAATTATTTATAAAAGCAATAACTAAACGTGTCATATATTTTCTGTCTTTTAACAAACGTATCAGTATTTCTATGCTAACAACAACGTCAGATTATGACACACTTAACTCGCCGCTGATGCAGTTGCAGAAACGTATCACTTATTGTTACATCCAGTCCTGCTTCGTGATGCAAACGTAAAGCAACAGTTTCTGAATGAACCGTACATTAAGCACGAACATCCAAGTGAGGATTTCTCAACCTAGAAGGCTTCGCGCACCGGTCGGGAACATTATATCCTAATAGGAACGTTCGAGTATTTAGAGGAAAGAAAATTTAGCGATCGCCCGAGCTAGCGTATGGATGTCTTAAAAGAGCAGTAGAAAAGGACTGTGGATGTTAACGATCACTGTAACGCCGGTTCAACAGGAGCCCACGAGGCCAAGTAAGGCGCCAATAGGTTTTCACGAGCTAGAGTAAACCAACTGATTGCTACGCGCTCACGTTTAGGTCTTGCAAAACCGTTCCGAGTCCTTTCTGGATCCCAGTGTGGCATGTCTGCCCACTGGCCTTCTATGACTCTGGCTGGCTGGATGGGCGACCGGGCGTTGATTGACTTTGCAGCAGTTGTATAATTTTTTCGAGGACTGTGGTGAAGACGGGTTACTCACTTGTCGAGCCACCAGCGAGTTTTTCAGGCTAATGAAAAGAAGACAGAAAAGATGTCCGGCGAAATTAAGGGGGAGGAAGTGCGAAAAGAAACAAGACGGAAGGAGAGAACTAAGTAGATTCGTGGGTGATAAGTGAGAGAGAAAACCTTGATAACTAAATGAGTAAACATTTTGTTCTCATATTAGTTATTTAACATGAGAGAAGCCAGTTAACAGGGATCATCACATTGATATATGCTGGGAAATCTAAAAGATTTTACGGGACCTGAATGGTACGGAAGGTAGGTCATTAAATTTGATTAAAACATCAAAGATTACTCAAGTTATGAAATGAACGAGGAAGTACAACTTTTTGGCATATACGTAATGTTAAAGTGTGGGCCGTTTTCAGTCATCCTTTCTTCGTTCATCATTAAGGGAACCGAGGTCTCGCGAAATTCCAAATTTCTGTTAGAAGCAGACGACATGTTTGATTTGCCTTCGCAATGCCCGTTATGCTGGATAAACGTCTATTTTACCATAAATTCTTGTGCTTATAGCCTCGGGTACCAAAAGAACCCACATTGACGGTTTCGAAAGTTTCGAAAGCAGTTTGTAAGTTTCCATAAAATCATATCATTCAAGTAAATATCTATTCAGGTATTACCATTGACGGTTATACAGATTTATGCCACCAGAATTGCCTGTTCTTATATCATTATTATTATTTGACCCTTGGGCTCCTAGTGAAAAATAGGCCTTCAGTAGCACATCTCCATTCCACTGTGTTGTCTGCAATCTTTTGAACCTGGCTCCACAACTGTCCAGAAGTTCTCATTTCTTCCTCACGCCATCTCCTCCATGTTACCCTCGAACGCTCAACTCGCCGTTTCCCATCTGGGTTCCACTCGAGAGCCTGGTGTGTGACATTCTTGAATGGCCTCAGTGTTATCGCGGTACAAGGGAACCAACATTTGAAGAACTGCAGGCCAATTGCAATGGGTTTTCCATATCGTTCATGTTAAGGTATGCAGGATTATCAATGAGGTACATTTACTGTCAGATGAATTACTAGAGGAGTTTGTTGCATAGCGGTATTATGAATATGTTCACTTTAAGGTTAGTAGGTGGGTTGGTCTCCCGCGTTTTACTCTCTGTCTAGATTTTTGCTGCCATTATGACCGTCCAGGAATTTAAGCAGTTCCATGGGGTGATAAATGTTCATGGGGTGGGGTGCTCACCTGTAGACTATCTACGGGAGGTTCACATCCTTTTTTTAGGAATGGTAGTTCAGTGGCGTTGTGGACCCCTAAGTGAGGTCGCATATCGATCTTGTGCAGCTTCGGGAAGAGTCCGAGAGTGAGGGCCCCTGGTTGTCTGCACGTGGAGCGCATTACTGTGTAGGCTTCGGGGTCATCTGCTGGATAACTGGATCTGATGTCTTGCTTGTCAGTCAGCATTGGTGTCAAGTCTTTCTTCCTGGTGACCTGGGAAAGGCGCTTTCCAAGGGGAAAGCA